CCCCCAAAACCCCAAAACCCCAAAACCCCAGAAATGCTAGGACTTATTGAAACATTGACTAGTACTGATACAAGCTATTATCAGGCTCAATTATCACAGATCTTGGGCCAAGTCCTGGCTGACTATCATCTTCATTCAAGTACTGGCTGAGGTCCTCCTCGATTTTAGGGTTCTCGATGACATTTATGATCCTCTTGGAGTTATTAAACAAGAAATCATGCAAGATTTCGTATCTATGGATCTCAATTCCATATAGAGATTTCATGCTATTTTCCTTCAAGATGTTAGCAGCATCTTCTCTCACAGTATGAATTTCTGAATCAATAGCAGATATTTTTGACTTTCATAGATCAATTTTAGCAAAGATTTCTGGTTTTAAGTATGAAAAATGAGTATTGGATGAAAGATTGTTCTTAAGAATCCAACAGCAGATATCCTTGCTAACTCTCTGTAAGTTCTCAGATTGGGTAATTTTCTTATCAACATCAGTGCCTTCTCTACTCATATTGGCCTTCTTGCAAATGTGAGTAACAGCTGAGGAGATCTTTCCAATTGCCATTTTCTTAGCTAAATACTTATCAGTACTGATATCTTGAGGGCAAGCATCGTAGTTGTTCATATATCACTGAGCAATTCTATAGATAGTATTCATAAAAGTGTCCCTCCCATCAATAGTTTTCCTATCTTTTGACACAATATTTGAAACCTTTCCATCATAAAGAATACGAAGAGTTGTAACCAGTTCTTCAAGCGAAGCCTTAACATTCTGTGACTTTTCATTGAACATCACCAATGAGTCAGCTAAGTTTTGAGTATAAATTTTGTCTAACTCGATAAGGGCAGAGGTCAGGTAAACATATCTCCGAAGTTTCTCAGATGTCAGCTCGCACAGCCTCATACTTTGTTTTAGGTTAACACTGTTATCCGAACTCTTGCTTGAATTTAGAACCTCTTGTGATCCTGAGACAGCATCAGCTTTGTATAATTTATTCACTCTTAAGATGGAATTTTTGTTGAGCTCTTTAATCAAAGCTTCAAATAATTTCTGTGTAGATTTCTCCATAGCTTTCACCTTCTCCTCAGTGGCATCATGTTCTGTTACAATATTGTCTTTCTGGATTCAGTTAAGGGAAATCTTGCTTCTCTGCTCTCGAATTTGAGCCATTACCAAATGCTTCTCTATTCCAAAACAGTTATCAATCAAGGGCTTCATTTCCTCATCAGAGACCAAAGGAGAGCTTGACTTATTCTGATTTTTCAGTAAGTGCAGGGCAGTCTCATATGAGGTATTTAGTTTAGAAATAAATTCACCAATGTAAGAGGTGAAATCATTTACTGATGAAGATGATATAGATCATTTATTTTCAACAGGGTCTCAGCCAGGGAACTGAGATCCTGGCCAATTATGGGGACAGAGGCTGTAAGAAGAGATTGAAATCTTTGTCCCAATTGATTCAAAAATTTGTTTAGCATCCGAAATAAAGTACTCAACTTCGGCATCAAGCTCTTCTTCATCTTGATGGGATCTGCTTTGGTTTTGATTATTTTGTCATTGATTTTCTTTATTTTCAAAAATTGCTTCGTACCTATCTGCTTCTTCCTCAAGAGCTTGGAGCTCAAGCTGAAGTAATCTCTCCTCATTATCCAACAGATTAGCCTCTGCTTCCATTGAAATAAGTTGTTGCTTCAAGGTATCCTCTGTATCTATTCCTAACTTTTGTTCTATTTCATTTCTCTCAAGTTCAATTTCCATTTTTCCTTGCAAAGTTTCGAGATCGTATTGATCAACTTGCTTTAGAATTTCCTCATAATTATCAAATTCCTCGTCAATAATATCAAGATCCTGAGGTGCTGTGCCCTTGGAGGCAGGGCTAGCAGAGGGTTCTATATCATCAAGTGCGAGGAGATTATCATCATCTGAGAAACTATCGAAGGTGAAGATTTCATCGCTAAATTCGCTCTTGTCATCCTTTCTCATTTTCATGATCAATGTATCACTCTTTGCTTTATCTACCATGATGCTGGCTATGTCTTTGAAGCATATAAGCTCTGAGTCTGTAAGGACATTACTATGGCTCAGATATTTCAGGAGGAAATCATGTAGGACTCTGAACTTCTTGCTATTGAATATGTATTCTATATCATCTCCTTTAATATCCCAGCCGTCAAAGCCTAAATCAGAGAGTTTTGATAACAAGCTTTCTGAATAAGCTGGTCTCTCTGTTGGTTCAAATTGAGTCTCCATTTTGCGCGGATTTTTAATTTTATAATTTCCTTTATGAGTCATTAAATTTCAATCGATAAAGAGACGGTAGGGGTTTTGGGGTTTTGGGGTTTTGGGGTTTTGGGG